AAAAAGTTCTCAAATGAGTAAACAGATTGCTAACTCAGATGTCTGAATAAAAACTATTTTAACTATTAGAAGAGCATTATTTAAAATAAATTCCCTTTAGCTGTTTTTTTTAAATAAGGTTTTAACAATTTGTCATGTCACATATGTAATACTGTTTGAAACTTAGGCAAGTCGACCGCTTCCCTGACCCCTTCCCTATGGAAGGTGCCCCTCTGTCCTTCTCGTAGCTCAGCTCTTGGCCATGGATCAGTATGCCCGGCATCTGGATCCCTCCTCCACCTCCCCTCTGAGACGAGAGGCAAGTTTCCAGCCCCCAGTGTGATAAGTATAGAAATTGGGAGTAACTCTTTCAAACTTCAGAGTAATTTCAAAGAGTAATTTTGTCTGGGGAATTTCATAATGAAAATATAACAATGGGATTGTATTTATATGTATTTGTATATTTTTATTTCATTTTTCTAGAAATTTGTTTTTCTTTTACTTTACAAAAGTATCAGCTCAAGATAGATTGGAAATAAAACAGATCTTTTATCTTACGGTTTGTTTAAGAGATACTGTTCTATGACTCTCTGGTGCCTGGTACATTGGAATTCCCTGCTACCTGGACCTACCTGGGCCTCTTTATCATGTCTATATTCCAATGGCAGGAACACATGAGCCATATGTTCCCATGCCGGAGGTTCAATGGACAGTGTTTTCAGGTAAGTGGGTAGTTTGAATGTGTAAGCTGGGAAATCCATGTGCATAGTGAAGGATGGAGCTAAGTTTGGGAAGAGTGCATGGCCAGCTGCAGGCTGGGGCTGGGGCCACATTTTCCCATGCCTTCATTTCCCAACAAGGAAATCACATCATTCCTGGAACTCTAAATTCAAACTTGTCTTTGCAGGTTCTTAAAAAAGTATATTTGTCAAGGTAGGAGGATAGGACATATTGTATTTAAAAATATGCAGCTTGATTTATAACATAATATTTAGACATTTAATATGCAGTCGGGAAAGTTAACCTTCTTAAGAAATATGCTTCAAGTTCACTCACATTTATATCAGTTTCCTTAGTGGATACAAATCCAATAAGTTCAGTTATCACAGAGTCTTAAGACTTCAAAGGAACTTCTGATGTAATTTCAACTCTGTAAATTCTCTGTTAGCTAGTTAGCCAGCTTTTATTTGACCACCTCTAGGAAGTAGATGCTACCTAGGTTCTATATAGTCATCCTTGCTCAGGGAAAAGATAATTATATTTTCAGAGAAATGCAATTTTGTTTCTTTAGCTAGAAAATCAAGTTTGAGAAACACATGTCATGGTTATAGACAGAGAAATATAAATAGGAAAAATGGGAATCACAATTTTGTACAAAATTAACAATTTCTCAGAGTGACAGTAATATAATAAGTAATGAAGCAGAGCTACTATCCTTTCTAAGGACAATATGATAACATCAATGTGAAAAGAGGAAAAATGTAACTTTGTCTTCTTTCATTTTCCTACCGCAGCAGAAGAAAACTCATCTTAGCCTGTAAGACACTGTCACTTTCATGGACTATTTACTTGGTTATAAAGGCATTCCCCATTGACAAATTTGTTCTTTTTCTGGTCTTTATTATCTGTTCTTTATCTAGCTAGCTTTGGGGTGTCGTCTTCCTCAAAAAATCAGTGGTAAGCCTTTATTCTTTTTTTTTTAAATTTTTCAGTTAATTATTCAATGCTTCTCACCTCATCTGCTACCTGATCTCATTCATTCAACACAGGATATAAAAAATTGATTTTAAAATATTCTCACCACTTCCTTCCAATATAAAAAGAATTGGGGGGATCATATGAACTTGACAATGAGATTTGGAAAAGGATGGCATAATCACTAATAAAATTTTAGTAGTTTTTTTTTTGAGACAATTGAGGTAAAATAAGAATGGGTTCAAAATTCTTTAAGAATTAGGTATGCAGAAAGTGAAGGAGTGTGGCATGTTTACACAGAGGTTTTGTTTTTTATTATGCAAGAGTTCCATTTTTTAGATAATACATGGCTATATTTAAAATATAGAAGTGTTTTTTTCTCTCAGTACCTAAAAATTATATAGTAAGGGTTATTGCTCTATTCTTATTTTGAGTTTTGCAAAAACATAAGATATATGCAATTACAATAAGGTCTGGATCAGAATGAATTGTTGAATAGGTGGGTGTGCACACTAGTTTCACAGTTTTATGGTTATTTAAACATAATGTATTTTTCTTTCTCTCATCTAGCTCTCCCACACTCTCACTAAGGGACCAATTTAGATCTATTGATTGAATAGTCTAAAAGGTAATAGTCACAAAATGAAGCTTTACTTTTTATTCCCAGTGAGATGAAATACTCAATGTGAACTTTGAATTTGGAGGCACAGGGAAATCCATTTGGGAACTTGGTATTCCTTTGAAAAATAATGTTCAATGGATATCCTGTTATTAATACAATAATTTGCTCTGTAAAGAAAGTATCAACAGGTATATTAGAATTCATGATAGCCTCCATATTTTTTTAGCAGTCAAGTAGAGTAAATTACATGGTTCAAAAATATTAATTTTTTTCTTGTTTAACAACAGTGATTGTACAAATTACTGCTTAATACTAATAAATGTACTCTTAAATTTCATCAGTTCTAATGGTTGGCATAATAACTTTGACATCTTTCTTCTGTATCTTATTGGATTACTGTAAATATGTATGTCTATTTTTTTCTGCATATAATTGTGTGATATTCATGAATTCACAAATCCTTTAAGGCAGTGGCTAAAGGAGGATATAGCATCTATGATCTACAATGTTAGCTGTACAATATGGTTTCTATTATTTGATATGATACTGAGACATTAAGTATTGTTTTGTGGCAGAGAGAAGAAAAAAGTCTTTCAAGAGACGTTCTTTACTCAGTTTTCTAGATGGCCAGACTGCCATTCCCTGTCCATATTTTGAAGAATCTAAAACTGAAATACAGTACTCTAACCAGAAAAAAGAAGAAATGTCCTATCATATACATGTTTTACAGTTTTATTTCTGAAGTACATGTGATCTATCAAACATTTACACAGATAGGTCCCAAAATATGAGAATTATTCACCAAATTTGCTATATATCATTAATGCACAAGAAATTTCAACTTTTATAAAGTGTCAGATAAAGGGAAAGATTCATTTTTTTATTTGGAAAATAAAAAATAATAAATGTGAGGATAAAACCAAAGTTTGTGTTATATCAAGTGTCATATATTTAAATAGTTAATAGGCCATTCTGACAATGCAAAGGTTCTTAGAAGCTCAGGTGTAAAAGGATAAAAGGATTAGTGGTCTTAAGCCCCCTATAAAAGGGGCAGAAGATTTAGTCAATTTTTGCTCTGTGATAATCCAATTGTATTGTTGCCAGTTCGTCAAAAGAAACCACAAATTCAGATTTTTTTTAAGATGTAATTTTCAGTGCTTTAAAACACTGTACTTCCCAAATAAGGACAAAAACTCTTATCTCCTAATCAAATTAGCTATGTGGCTGCCAATTTCTAATACAGTATGACGATATAATGAAATTCAAACTATCAAGTATAAAAACTACAAGGAAATCTAGGAGAAACAATAGACTATTTCTAGAGGATATTAGTCCACCGTAGTGAAATGCCTACCAAGCTCACCATCGTGATAAAATTCTAAGCATTTTTAGAAAAAATGTTAAAAATAAAATTATAAACAACTTTAGCAACATAACCAGAGATGTATAGCATATAAAATACTGGCCCTTTTGTCCATCATACCTTAGGAAGCACAGAATAGAAATGCAACAGGCTCAGAGATAGACAGCAATGTAGTGGTTGATCAGTGATATCCACATTATGGGGTGGAGGACAGGAAGAGGTCAAGTATGCATGGAGACTAGTAAGATGAACTGGTTGTCTTTTTGTTTGATTATTTTAGTCTTTCTTTTTCTCCTGGAAAGAAAAGAACTAAAAGGGAATAATATTGGGGGCTAAAACTAGAAGAACTTCTTGTAAAATTAAAAAGAAAAAAATGAGAAGAAAGCTAGGTTATCTTTAGTCAATTTATATAATAAGAAATGGGCACATGATAACGGCATTACTTCTAGAAGTTTACACTGAAACTTTGATCCAAAATGTGGATTTTTTGGTCATATCCCAGACATACAGGTTCAAGAAGTTGAAACTACATTTTTTAAAGTGCACCAGGTAAATGTGATGCAAAAAGACCTCATTTTGAGAAACACTGGTTTGATAAAACCTGAACTGCAAATCAACAGTTATGAAAGGAATTCTGAGAGAAAACAAACCCTAAGCTTTTAAGATTCATAGCAGAGAAAACAGTGCACTCTCCCTGAAGCATTTATTCATTCTTCTATCAGAGTTTGATTATTGGAATGAATACTCAAGGTCCAGACAATAAAAAGTCCCTGACACTCCCCCTTTTTCAAATGTGTTCATGCTTTTAGCTAGATTAAGAACCGCATTTAGTCTGTCTTTAACTATCTCAACTCTAAGAGTGGTTCATTGTTAACTACTCCAAGGGTCAAAACTCAGATAAATTCTCAAACTCAGCTCTTGATGGCTAGGTATGATTTTCTGCCAATAAGCAAGCAGCACCCACCAATCACTGAGTAACAGTATCAGTCTCTGGGATCAATTTTATTCTTGCTTTCTCAGTCTATTTCAAAACTGAGGGGGCAAGTGTGTTTTCTGAAATAAGGCCCAATCAGCTATTCTGCAATTTTACTCTAGGCCTCCATTTCCAATGGGTTCCTCTGTCTGTTTCCAAACAGAGTAAGTTGTGTTTGTATCAAGTGCTGTAAGTCTCATTGAAGCAGGACCAATAAATATACTATATGTAATTGATGATGATAATAACTAAGGTCCTATGCATCTTTTGTTGGCTGTAGTAGAAGAGACCAGTGAAAAAATAAAGAAGGGTACAATTTCATAAAGACTTGGTAGGCAAAGTCAAGAATGACATCATTGAGAACTTACACTTGGAGCACCGTCCTAGGATCTCCAACTTCTCCCCCATCGCCAATTGTCAAGGTGTCATAGCCAATCTCCAGATCGAATTCTTCAAAATTTATCTGTATTACCTAACAGTAAACAGAAACAAACATCTTAAATATACTGTGTTATTAATTTAAATGGACATCAGAGAGTTGTATATATATATTTTATACCATGGCAGCAGATCACAGACTATTCCTAAAGTTCAATCATTATCACATGATTTTTATTTGCTGCCTTCTACATTTTGTAATAATTTTTCAATGAAATGGCATAGCTTCTGTTTATAGAACAGTCTTATTTGAAACTTCTGAAGCATGATTAATGCAAATCTACTTTGAGAAGTCTTTATAAAAAAAGTACATGTAGGTGGAGAATGGTTTTCCATATATTTGCATATATTTTTATAAAACTAACATGTAAAAACACAGAGTGTGCTATTTCCATTAAATAGTAAAGCTTAAGAAATGTTAGAGCTAAATTTGAATCTAGATCACCAGATTTAAGGATATCAAGTTTATTTCTTTGTATCCTTTGGTAACAGAATCCCTCAAATATATTACTATATACAGGCAAAATCAGAAGCACAATATTTTGGGAGACACTTTACAACATGACAAATAATTTATCTTCATTTCTTACATATACTCACATTTATATATTGTATATACATGTATACACAATGATTATTATGTAATTAAATTATAATTCCTAATTTAAGAACCTAATAATACAAGGTTAAATAATAATGTAAGTAAGATTTATTATAGGAAGAAATTACATGAACACCACCCTATAATTAATCATGCCTTGGTCAAAAAAATAATTTATAACAAAGTATTACAACCATATAAAGAAAATGAAGGTCTGCAGTTACCAGTATTAAAAAAATAAATGAAAAGATGTCTTTTTAATAATTTTCAAAACAATTTGTTATGATAGTATCAGAAAAAGAAATTTCAAAAAATTAGTGATTTCATATCCCAGTTTTTAAAGCTTTGTAACAATACACAATTTTTTGATTGTCTATTTATTGATTATAACAATTTTATTAACATTGACTAAAGCAACTTTTTTGGTTAAGTTTAGATAAATATTTACATTATATTCATTTTAATTATAAATTAAAATTATATATATATAAATTAAATTATATAATTAAATGTTGAACATTGAATTACACATTTTACATGGCTGCAAAAAAATTTCCTGTACTATGTTGTTAAATATAAATACTCTATTAATAATTGTCTGTCATTAGAGACTTAGTCTGTTCTTTTGTTTTTGCTACTTTAAGAAACATGGTTATGAGCAACATTAAATGCTTTCTGGTTCAAACATACAAGTTTATCTCTAGGTTATATACTTAGGAGTACAATTCCTATATAATAACAAAGCAAAATTTCAGTTTTATAATACTGTGCTATATGGTTAATTATTTCACCAATTTAAGTACTCACAACTTATATACATTAGATTTCATTATTTCTTCCAATCTAGACAGTGTTAAAAATGATTTCTTCTTGCATTTTCTTGATTATTATGTATTTATACATATATATTCATTTGTCATTTATGTTTCTTTTACTGTAACATGGCTATTTGTATTTTGGTTATTTATCACTTGGGCTGTTTGTATGCTTGCTATTGCCTGCAGTGATTGTTTAATATTGGTGACTACCAACATTTGTCCAGCACAGCATGCATAGAGAAGAATAACCCTGAAAACACACTGAGGTGAGCAGGTGAGGCTGTTTCCAGTGGGAGTTTTTTGCTTAGGTCCCTATCTGCCTATAAGAGAGCGAAGATCGATGTCTTAGTTCTATCTATAACTCACTCAAAACACACCATTAAGCTTGGCTCACCAGTTGAGAAGATCAGCTTTATGATTCCAGATACTGACCCATTACATGTTACGTTTGTTAAAATACCTTCTTCATAAACTTTCTAGAAAAATGAAACCTTGCAAGGCTGACCCAGGGAGAAACATAAAATCTGAATAGACCAACTACTAGCAAGGAAATTGAATTGGTATTCAAAAAACTACCTAAGAACAAAACTCCTGGTGGATCAGATGGTTTCACTGCTGAATTTTATCCAACATTCAGTGAAGACCTAATACCCATGCTCCTTAAAGTTTTCCAAAAAGTAGAAGAGGAGGGAATACTTCCAAACTCATTCTACAAGGCCAACATCACTCTAATACCAAAACCAGGCAAAGACAACACAAAAAAAGAAAATTGTAGACCAATATCCAAGATCAACACAGATGCAAAAATACTCAACAAAAATATTAGCAAACCAAATTCAAAAATACATCAAAAAGATCATCCATCATGATCAAGTACGATTCATCCTAGGGATGCAAGGATGGTATAACATTTGAAAATCCATCAACATCATCCATCACATTAACAAAAAGAAGGACAAAAACCATATGATCATCTCCATAGATGCTGAAAAAAGCATTTGACAAAATTCAACATCCATTCACGATAAAAACTCTGAACAAAATGGATATAGAGGACAAATACCTCAACATTAATAAAGGCCCTAGATGACAAACCCACAGCCAGCATCATACTTAACAGTGAGAAGCTGAAAGCTTTTCCTTTAAGATTGGGAACAAGACAAGGATGCCCACTCTGCACTTTTATTCAACATAGTTCTGGAAGTCCTAGCCACAGCAATCAGACAACACAAAGAAATATAAGGCATCCAGACTGGTAAGGAAGAAGTCAAACTGTCACTCTTTGCAGATGACATGATACTGTATATAAAAAGTCATAAAGACTCCACTCCAAAACTACTAGAACAAATATCTGAATTCAGAAAGTTGCAGAAACTAAATCAATACACAGAAATCTGTTGCATTCCTATACACTAACAATGAACTAGCAGAAAGAGAAATCAGGGAAACAATTCCATTCACAATAGCATCAAAAAGAATAAAATACCTAGGAATAAACCTAACCAAGGAAGTGAAAGACCTATACTCTGAAAACTACAAGACACTCATGAGAGAAATTAAAGAAGATACCAATAAATGGAAAACATTCCGTGTTCATGGATAGGTAGAATTAATATTGTCAAAATGGCCATCATGCCTAAAGCAATCTACAGATTCAATGCAATCCCTAACAAAATATCAACAGCATTCTTCAACAAACTAGAGTAAATAGTTCTAAAATTCATATGGAACCATAAAAGACTCCTAATAGCCAAAGCAATTCTGAAAAGGAAGAATAAAACCAGGGTAATTACATTCCCCAACTTGAAGCTGTACTACAAAGCCACAGTAATCAAGAAAATTTGGTACTGGCACAAGAACAGACCCATAGACCAATGGAACAAACTAGAGAGCCCAGATATAAACCCAAGCATATATGGTCAATTAATATACGATATAGGAGCCATGGATATACAATGGGTAAATGACAGTCTCTTCAACACCTGGTGTTGGCAAAACTGGACAGTTATATGCAAAAGAATGAAACTGGATTATTGTCTAACCCCATACACAAAGGTAAACTCAAAATGGATCAAAGACCTGAATCTAAGTCACAAAATGATAAAACTCTTAGAAGAAAACATAGGCAAAAATCTCTTGAATATAAACATGAGCAACTTTTTCCTGAACGCCTCTCCTCAGGCAAGGAAATTAAAATAAAAAATGAACAAATGGGACTACATCATGCTAAAAACCTTCTGTACAGCAGAGGACACTACCAGCAGAACAAAAAGGCATCCTACATTATGGAAGAATATATTTGTAAATGACATATCCAACAAGGGGTTAACATCCAAAATACATAAAGCACTCATATGCCTCAACACCTAAAAAGCAAATAACCTTATTAAAGAAATGGGCAGGGAAATATGAACAGACAATACTCCAAAGAAGAAATTCAGATGGCCCACAGGCACATGAAAAGATGCTCCACATCGCTAATCATCAGGGAATTGCAAATCAAAACCACAAGGAGATATTACCTCATGCCAGTTTGTATGGCCAACTTAGAAAAGAATGGGAACAACAAATGCTTGTGAGGATGCAGAGAAAGGGGAATCCCCATATACTGCTGGTGGGAATGTAAACTAGTTCAACTATTGTGGAAGGCAGTGTGGAAATAGAAATACCATTTGACCCAGGAATTTCACTGCTAGGAATTTACCCTAAGAATGCAGTTTTCCAGTCTCAAAAAGACATATGAACCCCTATGTTTATTGCAGCAGTATTTACAATAGCCAAGAAATGGAAGCAACCTAAGTGTCCATCAGTAGATGAATGAATAAAGAAGATGTGGTAGATATACACAATGGAGTATTATTAAGCTATAAGAAGAAAACAAATCCTACCATGTGCCACAACATGGATGGAGCTAGAGGGTATTATGTTCAGTAAAATAAGCCAGGCAGAGAAAGACAAGTACCAAATGATTTCACTCATCTGTGAAGCATAAGAACAAAGCAAAAACTGAAGGAACAAACAGCAGCAGCCTCACAGAACCTAAGAATGGACAAACAGTTGCCAAAGAGAAAGAGACTGGGGAGGATGGGTGGGAAGTGAGGGAGAAGGGGAATAAGGGGCATTACGATTAGCACACATAATTTAGCGGGGGGGGCGGGGGGGCAAGGGGAAGGTAGTATAGCACAGAGAAGACAAGTAGTGATTCTATAACATCTTACTAGACTGATGGACAATGACCGTAATGGGGTATGTGGTGGGAACTTGACAATGGGGTTATCTAGTAACCACAATGTTGCTCTTGTAATTGTATATTACTGATAACAATAAACAAACAAACAAACAAACAAATATGAATATATATATATATATATGTTCTTCAAGTTTATAGCTTGGTTTTTCATTTTCATTTTTAAATATTTTGGTAAGAAGAAATACTAATTTTACTAAAGTAGTACTTGTTAATCTGTTGTCTTGTAAGCAGTATTTTGCATTGCCTATGATTCAGGGTTATAAAGATATTTTTTTCAAAACTTAATATTTGGGAACTGACTATAGAAACTATGAAATAGGTATTTGTTGTAGGCAAAATTTTAAGACGGTCTCCAAGAGTACTCC